CTCGTATTGCTGTTCCTTCACTCGAGTTTGTCTGTAATCTCTTTAAGGATACAACAGAAAAATACATCAAGCATTTTCATGTTCGATTTTTTTCTTCTTCAGATCTTTCTCAAGTTTTAGATCAGTTTTTGACAGAAGGATCATTTGGGTTTCTGAATGGTACGCCCAATTTCGAAAGGGAAATAGCATGAAAATTTTCTTTGTTTCGTTTCCTTATCACTTCTTCAGTCACCCTTCCTCATATATAACTATATAATAATTAAATAAAAACTACATCGAATCAATGACTTAATCTACTGCAAGGAAAGTTGTGTCACTGTATTGTACCTGATTTTTTTTCTCCTCAGAATCCATCTTGCACATCTACACATCTACCATTCTTTCGTGCATTGAATGTTTTTACCATATATCGTCTGATGCTCCTACTGTTCATCTCGAGATTTTTGTGATGTCAATGAACACTCGTTGCCAATTTTGTAATGTCAACGAATACTTGTCATTTTCGCAATGCTCGTTGTAGTAGAGACTTTGTAATCGCAGATACAACTATAGTAGTGCCGTTGAACAATACTGGTGTGAGACGCCTTCGAATAGCCCTTGCAATAATAACTCTTGCTCGATAATACTCGTTCGAAAAGTAACCGCCGAATAGTAATCCGTATATTGATTATTATAGAGAAAGGTATAGTGAATATGATAGAGAATAGCGACGCGTATATTAATAGTGGATGGCGTTGAAATAGTGACCCGTATAATAATAGAGGATAGAATAGAAATAATGATCATTTAGGCGCTATGCTAATTCTCATATATGCGGTTCCTCTATGGTCACGTGATCTACTTATTCAAAATGGGATCGCCTGTACTTGCTCTCTGGCGATCTACGTTCAAACTCAAGTGTCGGCAGCGACACTTTATTTCTATATAAGAAGATTCTTGGCAAATTCCAAAGAAGGATTTGTAATAGAATCGATTCTGACCAGGTATCTCGACTTCAGTCATTTTTACACCGACGTGACATGTTTTCCCTTAGTCCTTTCTACAAATATTTCCATGGCAACGGTTCCGAGGCTCTTTTTTCCCCCGGTGACCCGACTACATGAATACCTGCTACTAGATTGGCATTTAGGTCCCACCGTTTTACTTTTGAAACAGCTAAATGCAAGCGCCACTTCTACCCCCGCAGCTTATTTTCTCGCACTTCTCGCCTGTGGAATTCCTTCCGTTCACTTGCTTCCCTGATCAATTTTCAAAAAATTCAATGCAACATGAATCACCATCGTGTCTTCTTGAATCCCGTACATATTTTTTTCCTTCCTCAATCCTCCCTATTCTCAATCTTTTCTTTCACTTTCACTTTCACTTCCTGTAACCCACTGCACACTAGAGGTATTTTCTCCTTGCTTTGGGGGAAATGATTAAAATAAAATGTTTCGTGAATTCTGTAACTTTTCGTGGAAGGTCACGCATTAATTATTCTAAGGTTAAATAACCGCAAAATTGCATGTTGGGTCTTGTCAGTTCGGACTGAGATTCCTATTCTTTGTTTCCTCGCCGATTTGATCTCGCCGCATCTGGTACTCAAAGACTTAACGTTGAATAACTCAATCCTCATGCACCATCCTTTCTGTTCACTTCGCGTCTATCGACGTCAGCCCTTGAATGAAAACTTACCCCGATAGTGTCAGAAAACTGTCACTTTAAGTAAAGCAAAAAGCGTGCTTATCTCGCCGACTATAAATTAATTGTCTTTCTTGTGATTTACCATATACCAGTATTGACCACGGTACAGGATATATATATAAGACGGTTGCGAGACCAGACCAGAAACACGTGTCGTGAAATTATGTAAAACAAAGTATAATATTTTTTCTCAATAAATCCACATTACAACCAAAAACGTTTGCGGCACCCCTCTTCTTTTAATATACATACTTTTCTCTCGTTGGAACCACTACAACATATTTCTTTTATATATATATATATATATATATATATATATATATATATATATATAAGATTCATAATTATTGAATCAGAAATCATAAAGTTAACAATGCTTATTGCAGATCAACTCTGAGTTACATGATTTTTACTCGTTAGTACTTTCGATAATAATGATTGTATTAATTACACAACGTTTATTTTATTATTTTATAAACACTTATTTGGACACGTTAACTCCAATTTTAATTTTTTACACTTAAAACTCCCGCATTCGTGAGAGTAAAACCATTTTGATTATAAAAGAGAATAATTTAAGGATTAAAAAATAAATAAAAGAGTCACACAGATTGTTGGAATTGTATCATGTTTCCGTTGACGGCCGCAAGTTCCACAAAACGTTGCCCGTGAATTGACGAATCAGAAAACTAGCAAGAAGGCAAAAAAAATTTCTGATAAAAAAATTTTCTCCCGCCAAAATTCTTCCGTGAAGTGTTTTGACAAAAAGGCAACGCACAAGAAAAATGCTAGAATAGAGACTTTTTGTCGCCCAAAATAGCCTCTCCGTAACTGACAAGTAGTTGGCAACGTTTCCTTGCTGGAGACAATGAAAATGGCAAATATAAACCCCACTATTTTCTGATATTTATTATTAAAGAGAAAAACTTTCGACTAGTGAAAATACGGCTTTTGAATTTCAATAAGAAAGCAAAACAGTGCGTCCTTGGCATACTGGCCTGAAGACCGCTGATGCGACCCACCAGGGAAGTTGTGGAGAGCTATGATCGCATGGACCCTGAAGAGACATTTCACATACAAGATGGATATACTATTTTAAAGTTAAATGGTCAGATGTAGACGTAATTCTATGCTAACAGTTTCTTCTCGCACTTCTCGCCTGTGAAACTCTCCTCTGGCTTCTTTCTTTCCAGCCAAATTTGATCTACAAAAAATTAAATGCAATGTCAGTCATTATCCTCTGTCATCTTAGTTTATATTCTCTTATTGTCTTCTCTTATTAATAATTTTTCGCAACTTCTCTTACAGTCAGTAAACCCTTGCGTCTTAGTGGCTTTATTTCCTTATTTGGGAGTGAAATGAAAAAAAAAACACTGTTCTCAATTGCGAGCCTTTTGTCGACTCTGACAGAGATCTTTACAGTGATTCGGTCAGTTTGTTTCTCGATTGAACCGGTTTTTGGTGATTCAACCACAACGGATCAATTCCAGAAATAGTAGGGATTTTTAAACCTCTGCATTTTTTTATTCAAATGAATCTGTTATTATAAATAGTTAAGCGAATCTTTACTGTACCCTATTGATTAGTAAGTCAGTCGCCAAGAGACTCACTTCTATTGACTTAACGAAACTAGTAAGGCTTCACAAATACGCAATACGTAAATTTGTATTGTTATAAATAGAATGACAACAGCAAAATACAGTTTAAAAATGTATTAAACGAAAATTATTTAAGATGCAGGCATTCACGAGAAAGATGGCAGTCATCGATAGCAGACACAGAAAGGAAACTACAAAGACTCCTACAGAAAATGGTGAAGGAAAGCAAGAAGAAAAGACTAAACATCAATTGCAAGAAGAGAGAATCCATGGCTGTCAGCAAAATTAACAGCCCAACATTCAAATAAAAATCACAAATACCAAAATCAAGCAAGTACAACAATTTTAATATCTGGGAAATGTTTTAACAGAGGACGGAACGCGCGACACGGAAATCAGAAAACGCACTTGGATAGCAAAAGATTTCTTCCCAAAACTAAGCAACGTATTAAGAAACAGGAAAATATTGTTAAAAACAAAGAGAAGAGTACTGAAATGTTATGTAATATGGGTCCTCCCATACGGCAGAGAATACTGGACAATCTCCTCAAAAATGAAGAAGAGACTTTGTGTAACAAAAACATGGTTCGACAGAATAATGCTGAGTATACCATGGACTGAACATGTAAGCAAGGAAGTTTTAGAGAAAATAGAAAAAATGGATGAATATACTTAACATCAGAAAGAGACAGTTGAAATTTCTAGGGCACATAATGAGGAAAGAGTGCTTGGAAAATCTGACACTCACAGGACGTATTGAAGGCAAGTGGGACAGAGTGAAGCAGCCGATAACATACCTAACAGGCATGTGTAAATGTTTGGCAGAATAGGAATTAATAGATATAAAAAGGCCAACTTTGCTTAGGGCTACAAAAGACCGGAAGTAGTGGAGGGCATTGCTCCAAAACAAGAGACATGACATTTAAAAGAAGATGCATGATACAAGGATTCAGTAATAATTGAACTCACTTCACTAAACGACTTGGAAAACCATATAGCTACATGGAATCCGTGCCCAACGCAATTTTCGCGGCTTAACATTTCTTGGCACAAGACTGCAGTAATGGGACACACATCCATCCTGTTATCATCAACATTACAGTGTCAAGATCTTTGCAATATACCGTCGCTGTGGTCACACGCATAGCACCAAGTACTTACCGTTAAAGTAATTGTCTGTGTTCACAGCCCCCGTTGCTCAGGAAAACCTTCCCATGATTAGGTCCACGGTGAATGATTAAATCTCAAATAATATTGGCAGAGGTCAGCGTTTCAGGGTTTGAACTCACGACCTCTGGATAATGAACACTATGTTCTAATCCACTTTAGCGAGGAAATACGAAAGGCTACGGAGCTTGCCGTGCATTGTACAATTAGATTGTCAGGAAGTGACAATCGTTTAGAAGCCACGCGTTATCGGGATGGGTGTGGACATAGGTCGGTGGGTGGCAGGTTAAAACTGAAGAACAAAGCACAGACGAAGTAACTGGACCTGCCTATCAACGAATTAGTGTCGATCAGGCTAAGCAGAAATGTTCCAGCGATGCCAGGTGGAACACTCAGATGTCGATAGGAACGAAACACTGCAGTAATGTCTGTTGCTAGCAGCTCTAACGATGTCGATCTTTTTTCTTTTTTGTCGACGCAACCGGATGGTGCCAGCCATTTTAAAAGCATGGCGTCTTTACCGAAAGCACTCCCATTTTCAACACGTGGATTTATGGCCATATCCCGATGAATCACCGGTTCTCATACGACCACCGAATTTAAGTTAGGTCAAGCCTGGTCTCTACCTAGATGGGTGACTGCTTGGGAATATCAGGTGCTATAAGCTTGGATGTGTGGTTGGTGTAATGGATCCGGAATTCGAAATCGAAGAGCCGACTTCGGATTCCAGTCGATTTCCTTATATTTACTTACACGCAAATACCATTAGAAAAAAGAATGAATACACATCTTCTACAATTATGTGTTAATTAGTAGGACTTGTATAAGTAAATCATTATTCTCTCAAAAAAATTCTTATAATTTAAAATTATTTTCTAGCTCTAAATAACCTGCAAAAGATTATAAGTCGTAAAAAATAAGTTTTGACTTGTTTGGATTGGTTTGTTTTACGGTATATCAACCACAATAGGTTATTTAATGCCGACAAGATTTTTATTGCTGGTAATTTTTTTTAATATATTGTTGGTAATATTTCTTAATTTCAAAAATATATTGCTGATTATATGGTTTTTTTTTTCAAAAATATATTGCTGGTAATATTTTTTTTTCAAAAATGTATTACTGGTAATATATTTTTTTTCAAAAATGTATTGCTGGTAATATATTTTTTTTCAAAAATGTATTGCTGGTAATGTTTTTTTTTTTTCAAAAATGTATTGCTGGTAATATTTTTTTTCAAAAATATATTGCTGGTAATATTTTTTTTTTTTTTTGCAGGTATTAAAACCTATTTTTACACTTCCATAGTGTTTTGATCCCTTTTGTGGGGAGGTTAACTATTTGCACAGAACTGGGACCCTGACAGTCGCTAGCACCCCGGATCATGGTGGAACTGGGAACACCAGCAATTAAGTGGTAGTTCCACGCTCCTCAAAACCTTCTAGTCAAAGGCCTTGCTGCCGGATGTAGTTTAACGTCTTACCCAGGACGCGGATGTAGTTTATCGTCTTAAACCCAGGACAGTATAAAAAAAAACAAATAAATCGTCTTTGTTAAGTTTTCCAATAATCATCATTCGCGGAAAAATGTTTATTTCTTTCTTTTCCTCCTCCTCCTACTCATCATCATCTTGACTTGTTCACATATTTATTCTTTTTTTTTTCTTAATATTGTCCTTTCCTTCGCTTCCACCACTTCCTAGCCCCCCGCTTCTTTTGTGTCCTCCGTACATCTCTTTTATTCCTCTCCATCGGCAATGCGATTCGGCGAACCGAGTTCAGGTTCCGATATAGTTTGTTGCTTTTCCTAATGCTTGTGGAGACGATTTGAACCCGTATCTTATCTCCCCCTCCACCTCCAGCTGTTGAATAATGAGCAAAACTTGTATCAGTAGATCGTCATTATCTCAAAGCAAATTCTTTCAATCAAAAAATATTTCCTTGCTTTAAATAACCTGTAAAAGGTTGGTAAGCCGTTAAAAAACAGATCAGTAAATCAATAAATCTCAACAAAGGATACAAACGAACTACCGATTATCCGCCGTTTGATCGTTTAATCCGGATAAAATTAAGAAAAAGAATATAAATTTAATGATATAGTTAGATTATGAGCTTACAAGGTAGTAATGTAACCTAATGAAGGTATTTTTTTCTTTCTTTTTTTAATGCAATTCACCCCAAGCTAGGCGGGAGTGACACTAGCGCGCAAGGGGTTACAGAGGATTGAGAACAAGAGTAAAAAAGGGAAGGATACAGAGAAGGACTGGGAATAAGCTCAGGGTTTCAGATGTCGATTGACATTACACTTCAATATTTGAAGATTATAGTCATCGGGGATGCAAGTAAGGGGAATGGAGTTCCACAGACGGAAGGTGCGAGAGAAGAAGCCGTTTTGACAGTTAAATGGTGGGAACGAGATGCCAGCCTGGTATCGCTCAAATTCACGCAGTCTGGGAACCAACGAAAGTAGCTCGTCAGAACAGTTGTCGTGAAAATACTCGAAGAAGAGATAGAGGGAAGCCACGGCACGTCTGTGGGAGAGCCATTGTAGACTATCCTACAGATTGCCGTGGCTTCCCTCATGTCACGTCAGCTTGACCCAGAAAATGGGTGCACTAATTAATTAATTCTCCCAGATGTATTTTCCCCATTATGAGCATTATTATATCAATGATACAATAACACCTTATTTCAGAGGTGAAACGGAATAGCAAAAAGGAAAAAAAATGACCATGTTTTGTTCAGCGAGAATTTGATACACAGCATTATATCTATATATATATATGTGTGTGTTTGTGTATGTGTGTGTGTGTGTGTGTGTGTGTGTGTGTGTGTGTGTGTGTGTGTGTGTGTGTGTGTGTGTGTGTGTGTGTGTGTCCCACGGAGAGAAAATATAAAAGAAATCTACACAACAAGCAATGTAAAAAGAGAAATCAAAAATAGGGTTGTGCATATAATATAGATTCCATGTTTCTGGAGATACTTCTGTGTTTCTGAAGAAGTCATATTTAGGTTTCCAGATTCAATCAGGCCTGATTCATCTATGTCGCTAGCGAGGACATATTACGCAAACGGGAAAAGGCGAATTCTGCGTTTTTCCCCAACATGAAGACTGCGATCCGGAGATATTTCCTATATCTGGGGAAGATATATCCCCAAAGTGAAAAGGCGCCATAGGATTGTAAGCTGCACTATGTGGGAGCTGGCTGCTCCGAACGGAAGTTCGGGGTGAGACAACAGCTCGGTTTGACTCGTTCGTCACTATACAGTGACGTCATTAAACGGCTGTCTCATGAACCACGGGAATTATCCCGACTAGAGGGAGATAATTGCCTCTGGTATCCCTACAAAGCTACTATAAGCATCTGATGCAACAACATATAAGCATATTCTACTTCATATAAGTAGGGTATTATCAAATGCGTAATAAAAGGACAGTTTGCAGCACCATCTAATAATATGCATAATGCGTTATAGCCGTGTGACTTCTGGGCATTGACGATCATGGCTCTCCACAATTTCCTGCCATTTGTAAATTTTGCCATTTTGTTATCTAAAACTAAAATCCATTTACTCAAACACGCTAGGTAGGTTATGGGAGTTTTTTTCCTCTCTGGCTCGATCTATCGTGAGAGTATCAAATTTTCTAAACCGTCTTTCCTTCTTATGTGCCTAGAAATTTTCTGGGGTTAAGTATAATTGCCCTTTCTGAATCTATTTTATCTAAATCTTCGTCTTTGCACACATGTTCATTCCTTGGCATTATCAGAAGCCTTCTGTAGAACCACATTCTTGTTGCTTCAAGTGTCTTCTTCATCTATGAGAAGATTGTCCAGTATTCATTACCATATAGGGGACTGATTTAACAGCTCAGTGTTCTTTCCTTTGTTTCTCAGGAATGTGTCCTGGTTCTTAATTTTTTGCTTAGCTTTTGGAAGATATTTTTCTATTCAAATATTCCGTTGGTTTCCAAACTTTTAAGTTTCTTGCTTAATATTTGCATCTCCAATTTGTAGTTTGTATTTTCGACTCTACCTTTTGCTGCCAATTATAGATTCTGTCTTCCAACAATTAATGTTTACTCTTTTCTTCTCGCTATTCTTCAATATCTTCTGTATGACTACGAGGTTATCTTAGCAGAATTAGAAGTCCTACCAGAATTCATTATTGGCAGTCAAAATCTTAACATCATGCAATATGCAGATGACATAGTGTTGAATGGAGACAGATAAAATAAATTACATCCTTACGTTTTTGAAAAGAAGAAAAAGAAGCAGTAAAAGTAGATAGAAAGAATGAAGTAAGGAAAGAATCAGTTTATGTGTCATGCGTGATACACGGTTAGGCGATCATGTATCTTTCGATACATGACTAACGAAGCAGATTTTTTTCCCGCAGTAGGTTTCTGTTTCTTCCTGCGGTAGACCAGTTGCTATCCAAGGCTATAGAACCTGGTCTGCCCTGCCATTTACCCATAACTGGGTGTGGGAGAGGAAGGGGGTTCATACGTAAGGGAATATAATGGATTTGACTGGAATTCGAACTCGGCTCTCCTATTCCTCAATCTGAGCCGCTATCCATTACTCTACTGTGCCTCCTAATAAGGAAAAGAAGATAGATAGATAGATAGATAGATAGATAGATAGATAGATAGATAGATAGAAAGAAACTGACAAGAGTTGAAAATAGATAGATGCGAAGAAGAAGAAGAAGAATGCAAATAGATACATAGAACGAATTAAGGAAGAAGAAGAAGAAGAAGAAGAAGAAGAAGAAGAAAGAAAGAAAGAAAGAAAGAAAGAAAGAAAGAAAGAAAGAAGACTGTTCGAAATATTCACTCAACAGAAAAAGCGTATAAACAAAGGAAATTGTGCCTAATTTGGTAGTGCTGCATCTCTTGGTGGATGTTGGCCGGATGCAAAACAAAAGAATTTCCCAGAATGCAGCTGCAAATTGCATGAAATTCCAGCATTTAATTTATCGTTTCTTTCGGTGCATGGCAGAAACGGCAAGTTTTTGTCGGCTTGCTTAGAAGAGAATAAAGAAAATGAAGAATGGCGAAGAGGAATATTAAAAAGAAGAGAGAGAAAATGAAGACGCTACGATTAAACTACGACATAGCAATTTTGAAAATTCTGCAAGTGTGTGCGTGCATGCTGTTATTATATAACACACACACACACACACACATATATATATATATATATATATATATATATATATATATATATATATATATATATATTTAACGTCAGATGAATAAAAAATCAAACATCAAGTCAATTTTTCCTCTTCGGTAGGATTTGCAAAATTCCTCTCCCTCTTTTACTAGATCTTACGTTTTCTTTCGGCCGGATGTTCAATTCATTTTTTATTTCCCAGATATATCTTGACAGAGCAGATCACTACACAATCTGAAAGATGATTCATGGTTGCTGCCGCACCAATATGATTAATCGTAAGTAGGCCTTCTACCTCAACTACAGTTTTGTATATGGCATTTTCTGTCAAACATAGCCCATTTAAGGGGCAATTTTCATTTTTCCTACAATTATACGCAAGAGAAGAAAAATTTTGGAAATTATAGGAAGAGGACAAGTCGTCGATCTTGATGGTCCCTATCCCAGTCTTGTAATTGAATAAAGAGAGCGGAAATTATGACGGGTTACTTGCATGCAAAATAATAATTAATAGCTAATATGAAACTCGGATGGCAACAACACCAAAGGAAAAAAAACTACATAGTTCTCAATAATTAAGGCGTGACGCACGAACGACACAAGTAAATTATTGAACTTGGCCTGACGATTCTTCCATTTTTTTTTATTCTTCATTTATTTTCTGTTATACACGGTCTACGTACTTTATATTGAGCACATTTAATTGCTAACTTTGTTATAGTTGCAATTTAACAGCGCCGCTTTTGTTCCGGTTATACATACACATATATATATATATATATATATATATATATATATATATATATATATATATATATATATAGTCTTAAGATGTGCTATATTTATGGGATAAAGTGCTCAATATCAGAGATAGAGCGTGTGTAAATATAAAAGTGAGTATAGAAGTTAACACTTAGAGGCGACAGTCTGTTTCATGCTAGATGCAATCGTCAGACCACGAGTGCTGTTATTTTTCTCGTCTATTTATATATATACGGGTCAGTGGAGCATTGTGGGTAGTATATTTTGGCGGTTATTTTACCGGAAGTCGTTTATCTGTTTATTTATTTATTTGGGTTAAATTATTTTGCTTGTTCTTATTTATTTTTATTTTTTATTTTTATTTATCATATATTTATTTATTTATTATTTTTTAATCGGCGTTTTTATTAACGTAGTAAAAAATTTGTTTGTATCGCTTATTTAATAGTTTTTTTTTTGGTTTGGGAAGATAATTAAAGCTATTTATTCAATTTTGGGGTTGATTGTTGTAGTTTATTCTAACTATTATTTTGGCGGGAACAGTTTTAATTTGTTTATTACTCCATGTATTTATTTGGATTGATTATCTTTATTTGTTTTTTCAAACGATTAGTTTATCGGGATTAGTTTATTTATTTATTTGGATGAATTTAGGTCAGTTTATTTTACTTGTTATTATCTATTTGTTATACTGTATATTTTCTCTTTTCGGTTTTCGATTTTTAAGTAACATAGTATTTTCTTTTATCGTTATAGCTATTTTTTTTCGTCTGATTTTTTGGTTTGATTTTTTTAGTCTAGTGTTGACTTTTATGTTCACTTTTTTATATATATATATATATATATATATATATATATATATATATATATATATATATATATATATATATATATAGTGTTGTTCTACGTCAGGATCAGTAATCAGCTTCTGCCACTCTCTTTACTATACGTTTCATATCTCTTCTACATATGTATGCAACATATAGGTACAATCCTATTTACCAATCTACTACACCCACATGAACCAAAGAGCCTTTGATTGTTCTCTTACATCTTCCTCTGCCTCTTTCTTCTTCTTCTCCTTGAGTTTTATGCCCTGTTTGTTTTTAATAGAAATCTTAGTCTCATTATCTTGAATCGTCAAATCTTGAATTCCATGTCTCTCAAATTCGCAAAATCTACTAGCTTGTCTTAATCTGTGAAGATATTGCATAATGGATTCAACTTGTTTCAGTTCAATAGGCAGATATTTGGTTCTTTTCGCTATGACAAATTTCTTTATAGGTCGTAAACGACTTTTTATAATTTCTGCAACTTCACCGAAGGTCGAATTTTCAAATTGTTTCGAGTATGCCATAACAGAATTTTTCATTATAGCTTCACAACCTGCTGAAGCTAGTAAGGTAATTAAATAATTATTCAATTAGCTCCCCAACTTGCCTGGTTGTCTTTCAGTTTTTTTTTAGCCCTAACCTGGGCTGTAAAACACCGGCCCATAGTCTAGTCTCGCCAAATTGTTGTTCATCCAAGTGACATAAACATCCAATCGGCATCGCCATGCACACACACACATATATATATATATATATATATATATATGTGTGTGTGTGTGTGTGTGTGTGTGTGTGTGTGTGTGTGTGAATGTAAATAAAGGTGAAAAATTTTTTGTAATCTACAACCCACACCAGCCTCTTCGACAGCCTTTCTTGACTGAATCCTAACCTATCAACCTAGAACTGCCTTTTGAACCCTAGCATCTCGAGCCTGCTATGAAATCTACGTGAGGGCCCCGCAAGATGGATTACGGATTTTTATCGCCAATATTTTCTGGTCAGAATTGTGGCTGCCAAATTTTGGATGATCAATTGAAATGTCGAACTTACAAATCCAGAATTATGGCAATCTGTACGGGGCCGGAATGGGTGTCCTTCTTATTGATATATCATAAATCAAACGCCATGTTTGTTTTTCATACGCGCCAGTTTCGAAAGAGAAATGCGCCCCTTTTCTTTTCTTTTTTTTTATTTCTTTTTTTTTGGGGGGGGGATTGTTTGAAATGCGTAATGTGAGTTATGAGAAATTTGCTTGTTCTTTTCTTTCTACTTCTCTTTCTTTTCTACTTTTTTTTTCTTTTTTTGCAACAAGGAAAATTTTAATCTATTTCTCTAAAGATATACCTTTTCTTTATCTACATATATTGTACATAATCAATTGCTGAGATTTCTGGTTCATATTTTAAAATCAGGACCTCCTAAAATTACATTTGGCGTAACATAATCTTTACTAACATTCTTTTTTACACAATATGGTTTATGCAGAATTTAGTTAAAACTTTAACAAAATATTGTTTTTAACAGTAATAGTCTTGTCAGTATCAGGGAAATTAGGAAGTCAACTCGAGTAGATAACAAATTCAGTTGCAGACGACTACTCAAGCAACACAACACAAACACAACCAGACTAAGGTTCATACTACAGCAGATTTCCGTTACAGATACTGGGAGGGACGCATAATCAGACAATGATCACTTGAACAAGTGGAAAGCGCTTGTTTTAAGATTCAACACTCAAATCTCGGATTTTATCTCATTTCGAGCCACAGCACTGGTTATATCGATAATTTTTTAATCAAGTATTTTATATCGATAATTTTTAATCAAGTATTTTACTATATAAAACGAAAAAGTGATTGAATTTACGAAGAAGAATATTTTGCGTCAAGCGGAGAAGCCCAAAATGGCTTCTTATCTCGTCTTAGACCGGAACACTGGTTATATTGGTATATATACATTAAGCTTTTGACAATACAATACAAAAATGGAATGACATTTAGGAGGAAGATTATGTTGCGCCAATATTTCAAGTGGAGAGAGAGAATCTGTTTTGAAACACAACATTTGAAATCTTGTTTTTTTATCTAGTTTCGATTATAATACTTTTTAAGCAAGACCCTTTTTACAAAAAAAATACGAAAATGGTATACAATTTAGGGGGAAGTTTATGTTTCACACGTATTTCAAGTGTCTTTCTTGAAATTCAGACGCTTATGGTCACATCATGTTGAAACACTCCTTCCCGTGCGATCACCAAAGCTAAGCAACGTCGAGACTGGTCATTACCTAGATGGGTGACCGTTTGAGAATACCACGTTCTCTAAGCTTGGATGTTGTAATGACTTGGAATTATTAATCAGACATCGTGTTTCAATTCCTATTGGGTTCGTTATATTCACTTAGGCGCAGTTATCTTTGAAAAATGTACAAATCCAACTCTTCTTCCCCCATCTATGGGTTAATTAGTAAGACTTGTATCATTATGCCATTATTATCTTCAAAAATAATTCATAAAATCTAAAATATTTTCTGGATTTAAAAATAAATTACAAAGGTTGATAAACCGTAGAAAATGAATCACTTGAAATTAAACTTTCGAATGATGGTTTTCGGCCTGGGCTCGAACATCGAGCGGACGGGAAATAAATTTGCTTCCATTAATACATGTTTCTATTCATATTGATGTGGTGACATTGGAGATAGATAATAAAATCAAAAAACAAAATATTTCCCTTTATGCAGGCCCGGAAGCTTTGCGTCGATACTTTACAAGAAAAACCCGAACTTTTAATTAAAGCTGCCCGCTGCGTGTGTGTTTCTTATAAGACATTTGTTCGCAATCTAGAAAGATTGCGACAACCTAATTCGCCTCTCTTTTTTTTTTTTTTATCACGGTTCCTTCTAAACGCTTTATATTCGTTTCTTTTCTTCTTCTTCTTCTTCTTCTTCTTCTTTTTCGACCGTTTTCCATCTTTCCCTTCTACATTCCCTTTAGTAAAATTCACGCATACAAGTGAATCTCTCGTCGAATAAAGGGTAATAACTTCCAAAATATTCTGCGATGACAAGAATTAAAAATAAACAAAAAAACAAAAACAACTAGAGAACTACTTCAGTCCAAGTCTTCCAAGTGCCTTCCCTCTGAAACGGGATATTAGCTAGAGGTTTTAATTTTCTTTTTGCATCTCCTCGTCATTTTTAATGACAGGAAAGAAACATCATAATATCTTCACGAGGGCAAACATCTGGAAATGAAAGCGGGAAAATCAGGGGCAGGAAAATCAGGGGCAGGAAAATCGAGGCGGGGAAAATGGGTATATTAGTCACCGTTTCGAGTTTTAGTTGTTTGGATATATCAAACTTCCGGTTTCAGTTTCTCTTTTGAGGCTGTTTTGGGGTTAAATTTATTTAGGAAGTTAATTTAGTGTCATTAGGGACTGTTTTTCATTTCTTTAAACATTGAGGTATCCTTATCGATACCTTGGTTATTGTCGTAAAGCGTTTATATACACAGAGTTGTGTTAACGAGAGCGAGGATAAAGAAACGGTGTATTTGTTGCTATAATCTTCTTAATTGTGCCAGAAGTTTGACACGTTCGAAAGAAGTAGAATTCATAAGAGAAAAGTAAAGACGATAAACTGGCAGGAATAATAAATGGTGAAAAAGGAAACGACTTAAAACAGCAAAAGGAAGAATGAAGAATAAACAGGACTTGAGCTGAGTTAGTTGCTTATATCTGACTGCTTCACGAAGATCAATGTTTGAGCCCATAGAAATGTTTTGAAAAATAACAATAAAGCATATAATACTGATTTTTTTCAAAAAAAAGCCAATTGTACTTTTAGATGACTAATGATCTTAAATTAATATAGAAAATGTGTCAAATGACTTGTAGAAGTGTTGCTGATAAGGTTCAGTGTTGTATTGAACATAAAAGGAGCTTTTGGAATATATTAAATAGTTTGTTAATCATAAAAAAAACCATTTTGGTCTGATATGACAATACGTATACATTTATACTACCGTCAATTATTTTTTGTTTAATAAAAGTTAACAGGTAAAAAAGGCGAAATTTCTGCCGCCCCCCTCATTATTCCAATTTTCTCGGCTTCGTGTCCTCATTGTGAATTTTTTTTAATTGTTTTTTTTTTATTTTTTTTTTTTTCATCACCAGCTAACGTTTCAGCTATTGTATCCTTCGTCATCGTTCGAGAATTTGGTATTTTATTCAATTCAGATGGTAATAGTTGCGCTATCAAACTAAAGGATACCTCGTATAATTTAATTCTTCCCAATATTAATTGAAATAGCGGAGATTGCTTTCTTTGGAAGCAGTATTGAGTTCATGGCCGTCAGGCAAACTGACTCATTTAACCGACGGCCAAGTACCATAATTACCAGCTACGCCAGAGACCCAAAGAAGAACTTTAACAACCAATTAGCAAATTAGTAAGTTCAATCGTCAGTGATTGCCTTATACTTGGACCTAAAAGCTTATTAAATGTTACCAGGTACGTCAATGTTGCCTTTGTTCAAAAGAAGGGGAGTTTATAAATACAAAAAAGAAAAACTTGAGTAAATCATCTACCTCAAATCCTGGTCTAATGTAGTTACAACATTTATAAGAGCAGTCCATTGTCACAGTAGTAGGACTAGTGGCCCGTTGACCCCACCACCCAGGACGAAAAAAAAAAATTTTTATTTTACCACGCTTATCCCCGTCACCCCATATAACTAATTAAAAAAAATTTTATTTTACCACGCTTATCCCCACCACCCCAGGACGAAAAAAAAAATTTTATTTTACCACGCTTATCCCCGTCACCCCACAAAATAAAAAAAATAAAAAAACATCATTTTTTATCTTTAAAAAATGTTGGTTAAGAAAAAAAAAAAAAGAGGAAGAAAGTGGACAGATCTCCCCTTTTTGAGATGCATCTACCCGGTTACAGATTTTGTGGACCAGGAACAAAACTAGAAAAAAGAGTTAGATAAAATGAGGACCACTACCACCTCTTTACCCCTAAAAAATGGTCTAGATAGTATTTGTATGCGACATGATATTTGTTATAGAATAATCCCAATAGGAGAGAGTGTGATTTAAAAATGTTAGATGAGTTAAAAACATATAAAAAAAACCCAAAACAGGGACAGAAAGAAACATTTTTGAAACCTTATATCAGCAAAAAATACACTTGGTTTATCAATTTAAAAAATAAAAAAACACCTCTAAAATGGAGAGAGAAATACCTGATGTAAACGTTTACTAAAAGGAGAGAAATGGTAGGAGCAACATTTAGAGGATCAGACTATACAATTTATTTTCCCCATATCTCAATTTAATAAACCACCAATAATCGCCCTGACTATCTAACAACACAACTCATTACATAATGTTAAAAACTGTATAATATTTATTTAAAAGGTTTACCTGATAAAGTTATAAATATACCAAATGGAGCTTATGAGATAAATGATAAATGATTACGTTGAAAAACAACTTGATAAAATAATTATTAATAGTAAAAATGTCTTTTCAATCAAACCACAAATACAACTGGAAAATCGCAGATAAGTATTAAAGACCCCATAATAAGAATAATACTATGATAACCTAAAAAAGATATTAGGGTTTAATAATAAAGAATTAATAATTGGAGAAAACATATCAGACAATTTGTAAATATCTTATCAGTAAATATTATTAATGTAAGTAAGTATAATAGAAGGATCAACAATTAATGGAGTAAAAACCCAGTTATCTACTCTTTTTTTTTTCCCGATGTACAGTTTGGTTTTTTAAAATTATAAAAGAAATAAATAATCTTTTTTCTCCCAACATCTAATAAAACAATTGCTAGAATAAATATTAAACTAACAGATCAAGATGGAAAAACTATTAAAAATAATAATGAAAACAGTTGACCTCAGATTTTTACTTTATGAGTCTTAAATTTACTCAAATTTTTTTAATAAAATGGTCTATCAAAAATAACAGTTAATGTATCTCAACAACAAAAGAAAAGGATAGAAAAGAAAAAGAAAGTATCTTTTATCTTTTCCTATGATGACTTAGTCTCTGGAGGATACTCTTTATGGAACAAAATCAAACTAGCAAGCATTAAAAAAAGCAATTGAAAAAACAAAGGGAGTAAAGATAACTATCAATATCCCAAGTAAGATATAACATTAAAAATGGTGGGTTTTGAGTTTACTAGCTGGACTCGCATCTAGATTTTTACCCGTTATCGCATCAAAGATTTTACCTGCACTCGGACTAGGAGCACTAAATTGGGGCAGCATCAGCTGGTGTTAGTAAAGCAATTGGAAACTCTCTAAATCCTGCCCATTTGGTCAAGGACTCTATCTTAAAAAGGAGGAAGATAAAGATAACATGTGCTGAAGGAAGTGGAATAAAAATCATACCATATGAGGGAGCACCTTTTTAAATTAAATAGAGAAGGTTTATACAGGACAGGGGATTATATTTAAAAAAAGGAGAAGGGTTTTTTGACTTTTTAAAATCAATCCCCATCCTCGGTGATATTATTAAATTATTTTAAAAAAAATAAAAAAAAAAAATGGTAAACAAAATTTTTTTAAGAGTCTATCAAATTTAGATATAACTAGTTTAAGTAGAGATAAAAAACTTTAGAGGTTGTTTTATGAGAGATGAATTAGTTAGTATCAAACCAAACAAATAGAATCAGGAGTAATAAACTTGGACACCTCAGATAACCAAGGTACCCATTGGACATTGTTGGATAAAAACAAAAATTTAATTTTATACTTTGACTCTTTTGGTTTACTCCCTCCTCCAGAGATGATGGATTTTTAAACAATCAAAAGACTACAAAGGAGTATATTATAACAATACAATTGTACAACCGGATAACATACAGTAATTTGCGGACACCTCTGTCTCTATATAATAAATAACAAACCAAAAAACATAAGGACTTTAAATCTCTTATTTTAAATCTCTTAAACTAATTTTTATTTTATTTAAAAACACAATATAACAAATTAAATCTTTTAAAATGAATAAGACAATTTTAGATAAAAGAAGTTACTCAACTTAAGAAAAAATTATATGATGAGTCAAAACAGGATGCTATACAAGACTTTTATTATCAATTAGAATTAGAAAAAAAGACAAAAACCTATTATCAATGCTTTTAACTAAAATGGATAAACCAAAAGTAAATGAATTAAAAAAACACAATATCTCCTGGACCAATTGGATCAAGATATTTAACAAGAGGAAAAATAAAAGATGATAGAAACTCCTTTTTTAAACTGATAGATAATAAAAG